AAAAAACCCGAGCAATTCGCACCCCCATACAGCAGAGCAGCAGCCGGAAGTAGCAGAGCAGAGCAGATCTGGAATTTTCTGCAGGGGGAGAAGGTTTCTAAGCTCCTAAATCTTGTTCTTGGACAAGAAAAGAAGGGAAAAATCCAAGCTTCTTACCGGTTTTTCAAGAGGAAGAGGCGCGTCGGTGGCTGGCTTCCTTGCTCGGTGCAGGGGGAAGAAAAGAAGAGCGGATGCGCGGGTGAGGAAGAAAAAAAAGAAGAAAAAAATGCCAGCCGATCCTTATCCAATTTCTTTCCCTCTTTAAGTCCCCCAAGTTTGGAAATTTTGGCTACTAAGCCCAAAACAATATTTTCTCACAATCAAATCCTTAACTTAAATGATAAAATTCTCGAAAATTTGGGATATTACATTTATAATGATGTTATTGTCAAAGAATTGAGTGAAAAGTTGAAGTGATCTTGAGATATATATTTGAAATCACTTATTATAAGAAACTACTCAAAAAGAAGTAGAATCCCTTGGTAGTATTTTTTTTTATCTTAAAATAATTTTTTTAAAAAGCATATTTCATAAAAAAAATTGGAGGAAAAGGGTTTAACATAACAAGGGAAATTAAAAATGAAAGTCCTATTTATTGAAATAAGAGTTCGTATTCTTCCACTTCAATTTTAAGCATTAAAAATTATGAGAGTTCATAGAAAGTGTTCCCAAAGCAATAATTAGTGATTAATTTTTGTCATTTGATTGAAATTATAGAATTTTTTATGTATCTATTTATTTATATTTATATCTATCTATCTGTCTATCTATCTATCTATATATATTATTATATAATAAGATGTAACCTAAGCATTAATTAAAAACTAATTTTGTAATTTTATTTTAGTTATTAAAAAATAAATTTAAAATAAAAAATATATATTATTTTTACATTAAAAACATAATAAATGTGACTAATAGTTTAGTTTAACTTTTTATTTTCTTCAATTTCTTATCTTCCTCTTTTATTATTATTATTATTATTATTATTATTATTATTTATCACTATTTCTTTTAGGTACATACAGTGCATTAAACCAAATGTAAAAGAATAAAAACCCAGTATTTATGAAGAATAAGAACAAATCATAGGATTGCCATGTATGGTAATTATTTATACAATATTGAAGGCCCTAAATGATCTAAATATACTTTTACCATTTTCCAAATTTACGAGACTTTTCGCCAACCGGGTCTGTGGCCCAATTGGTTGGCTCCCAAGCTTTAAGGTTTGGGTGAGGCGGAGGTCAGGGTTTCGAGCTCTGCTACCGCCGTGAACTCCACCAATTTGCGACCTAATGGTCGCGCGCCTCAAATGAGGGGGTGAAACGTTCACTTTCCTGGAAAAATTCCAGCTGCTAACAAACTAACTCTACTAACGTCCTAACCATCTATCTAGTCAAAAAAAAAAAAAATTTACGAGACTTTTCTTTTCATCTGTCTTTTATATAAAAAATCTTATATTAATATTTTAAAGGAAAATAAATGTAAGAGAGCACGGAAAACAAAAAGTAGTGAATATATGAAAAATTATTTATGATTTATTATAGTTAATAATAGAAGATCAAGTAATTAAAAGCATTCTTAATTAATTTTAATATTTTTAAATGTAAATCTTTTATCGATCTTAAGAATTTACTTATATTTACTATTTAATGTATGAGCTTTCTTCTTCAATTTCACTCTAATATTTTCCTTCTTTTGGTATGTATCTTCATTGTTTTCTTCTTTTTAATCTTCCCTATGTATGGACAAAATTTTGATTGAAATAAAAATTCTATAAAAATAAGGTCGCTTAGGTAGGATATTGAAATATATTTTAATAAATTCTATAAAAATTTAGTTTAAAATTTAAATTTAAACATTTTTTCTTCTTTGCTTATGGTCTATTTGTCTATTTTGTTAATTATATATTCTCTAAATATAGGATCTAACATTGTACAAAATTTTTAAGGTAATTATTTTTCTTAGGAGACCAAATCCTTCTCCCTTCTTATAAAAGCATACTGTTGGGTCCTTTAATTAGGAATTAGAAAGGTAGAAAAATGAAGTTTAAGGATCAACCTTTAATTTTTCTTATTTCTTTCATATTTTTTCATTTACTTTAAAATTCTAATGTTAAATATCTAATTGAAGGTTATGCAACAACCCATAAACCAACAAGGACATTTACCAAGGAATGAAGTCAATTAAACCTTAAATGAAATAATAGTCTAATAAAAAAAGGAGCATATATTTTTGGATTATGAGATAAAGATTATTAAAGGCAATTTTAAACTATATGTAAAAATTTTATAAGGATAATAGTATAATATCCTTCAAATAGGTTTTCTCAATTCTCTTAATATCCTTTCTTTTTAACATGGTTCTGCATAATATTTCAAAATAGTATTATTGACAATTAGCAATTTTTAATCTAATTTTAATTATTTAATTAGAAATTTTTTTACTAAAAAATTGTTATAA